CACTGCTGTGTGAAAGGAGCTGAACCGGACAACTTTCTGTAACGTCATACAATGAGAGTTCCGTGACTTGCATGGATGTACGCTAATCTGTGTGTCAACTGGAGGTTTTAGATTCAGTCACTGTGTTCCAATGCTGCTTCAGAGTCTCAATCTCAAATCTGGGGATGGAAGAATAGGAATCATCCTACTGTTTAAATGTGATCATTAAACTTTGAACGGCTATGATTGAATTAATTAAGCGCGAGCACGGCACGTTTCAAAATAAAAACGCAGTTAGCAATCACCAAATAACTCACATACAGTGGTGTGAAAAAGTTTTCAAACAATTAAAAAAACTTGTCCTGTTTTTTAATTGTTTGCATATTTGTCACACTTAAAAAATTAGTTTGATGATCTGAATCTTTTAAGTGTGACAAATATGCAAAAAATTTAAAAAACAGGAAGGGGGCAAAAACCTTTTCACGGCACTGTATATGCCAACTTGCCAAGTGTTGTTCCGATCTACTGATGATGAATAATGAATATTTTATGTAATTTATGGTGTTTAAATCATACCTGTAAACTCACATTTCGGCCAGGAAAGTTTTGATGGCATTTTCTTTTTACATTACCTCTGTATAATGCCTGTAATAACATAATGTTTACTTTATGTAACTGTTCCACAGGCGCCACCCTCTGGCAAAGAATGAATTTGCATATTCACTTATTCACATTTTATGCAGAACAGTGTTGTGAATTCAATGTTAACTGGCATATCAACAAGGTATTATTTTTTTTAAATGTGACATAAATAATTGTCAGGAAGCTTAAAATAAGTTATCTAGGGAAGGGGGGCCTACTGTAACGCTGTAGAGCAGGGGCCTCTGGTTGTCTTAAGGCGCCCCTGGATGTAACCTATCATTTGAGCATTTAAGCATTTTATTGATTGCGAATTATGTTAGGGGGAAACATATTGTAGGCGTATTGCCTATATTAAAAGCATAATAAACCAGAACCGTGTCACAAATTCAAGATATGTTTTTGTGTGCTGTTGTTGAGATAATTATTGTTCACATACTGGATTTCACCATGTAGTGGTGCTTACATTTCCTATTTCCTACATTACCACTTAGGGAAATAAAGGTAGAAACAAAAGGTTTTTTTTTTGCATTTTTTTGAACCAATCATTACACGGGGTGCTTCTCAGTACCATAATCAAATGTTCCCTCATTTCAATTCTGAACTGCGAGAAGGAAAGAGAAAGCATGAGTTTGAAGATGCTAAACACATGCTTTTATGTCAAAGCACCTGGTATATACATACATTAAATAGTTTTAAGTCATGCTTTACCTTTGTGGTTTAAATAAATTTATTAAATCCTGTACCCACTAAATTACTGAAAGAGTTGTTACCTGTAGAAGAACCGCTTCTCAGTATTATTAACTCGTCGTTATCTCTAGGTCATGTCCCAAAACCATTCAAGCTGGCGGTTATTAAGCCTCTTATTAAGAAACCACAACTAGATCCTAGTGAACTGGCAAATGAAAGACCCATTTCAAATGTCCATTTTATGTCTAAAAATTTTTTTCAAGTTGTGTCTGCTCAATTGTGCTCCTTCCTCCAGAAAAATGATCTCTATGAAGAATTTCAGTCAGGTTTCAGGCCCCACCATAGCACAGAAACTGCACTTGTTAAAATTACAAATGACTTGCTTCTTGCGTCAGACCAAGGCTGCATCTCATTTCTAGTTTTACTTGAACTTTGTGCTGTGTTCGACACCATAGATCATGACGTACTCATAGATCGATTACAAAACTATACAGGTATTTAAGGGCAGGCTTTAAGATGGTTTAGATCCTACCTGTCCGATCATTATCACTTTGTCTATTTAAAAGGGGAATCATCTCAATTAATGCAAGTAAAGTATGGAGTGCCACAAGATCTGTCTGTTGATACTCAACTATATATTTCAACAAGACCACATGAAACATCTAAATTATTTAAGCTAACAGAGTGTTTTAAAAATATAAAAGATTGGATGACCAATTATTTTCTGCTGTTAATTCGGATATTACTTATTGGACCAAAAAAACAGTACACAGAATCTCTTAATTACAATTTGTATCTAGATGGATGTAATGTCACTTCCTCTACAGTCAAAAATCTGGGTGTTATATTAGACAGCAACTTTTGAAAATCATATTTCCCATGTTACAAAAACAGCATTCTTCCATCTTAGAAATATTGCAATGCTATGGACCATGTTACCTGTTTCTGATGCAGAAAAGCTAGTGCATGCATTCATGACCTCTAGACTGGACTATTGTAATGCACTGCTAGGTGGTTGTCCTGCATCTTCAATAAAAAAGCTACAGGTAGTCCAAAATGCAGCGGCTAAGAAAACATGATCATATTACCCCAATTTACAGTCTCTCCACTGGCTACCTATTAAGTTCCGTATCAGTTACAAAATATTACTACTTACTTATAAGGCCCTTAATGGTTTTCGTTCCTGCGTACCTAACTAGTCTTCTATCATGCTCAATCCATCATGCTCCCTAAGGTCGCAAAACTCTGGACTCTTGGTAGTACCTAAGTCCACTAATGTATCTCATTACCTTGTACTTCAGTTATATCTGATCAATTACCATTCTTTTGCTTGGGTTGAACACATCATTTGTGATTGGTTGGAACAGCAGCTATGCTAATTTTGTCTCTATTTGCTTCTCTGTTTCTGCCACGGAATTGGCATCCCGAGGTAAATAGGAATTACACAAGCTTCAGTCTGGATCAAGCCCTCAAGAAGATCTGAAATGACCGAACACCTGAGAAGACCCCTCAGAGGACCTCAGATGATGCCATCCCTGAACCAACATACAAAACGAACAAATTTTGCTACAAGTTTGATCGCAAACTTGGCCCCGCTCCCTACCTCGCACCGGGCCCCGCGTCAGCTAAGGACGGCCCTGATCGCAACATATAATCATCACTGTTAATAGTGTTCACCGTCTGTTTGATTACATGTCATTAACTAACTGCATGATTTCTTCTGTACATTTCTGCCATATGGACATCAACTTGACACTTATAGGCTACTATTAAATATGAAAAACATGAAAAAATGAAAATTTTCTGTAAATCTGCTTTGCAACGATTTGTATCGTTAAAAGCACTATACAAATAAACTTGAATTAAATCTTGATTTATTAATGATAGCCAGAAATGGGAATCTGAGGTTACATCCATGGGAAAACAGATCAACTGGCTTAATCATATTATTTGTAAACTACACAACATTTCTTTGCTTTCAAATAATGTAATTCTCTCAAATGTACAATATACTAGACTGGACTATGTAGGGTATATGTGACCCTGGACCACAAAACCAGTCTTAAGTCGCTGGGGTATATTTGTAGCAATAGCCAAAAATACATTGTATGGGTCAAAATGATAGATTTTTCTTTTATGCCAAAAATCATTAGGATATTAAGTAAAGATCATGTTCCATGAAGATATTTTGTAAATTTCATACCATAAATATATTAAAACTTAATTTTTGTTTAGTAATATGCATTGCTAAGAACTTCATTTGGACAACTTCAAAGGCGATTTTCTCAATATTTAGATTTTTTTTGCACCCTCAGATTCCAGATTGTGTCTCGGCCAAATATTGTCCCATCCTGACAAACCATACATCAACGGAAAGCTTATTTATTCAGCTTTCAGATGATGTATAAATCTCAATTTTGAAAAATTGACACTTATGACTGGTTTTGTGCTCCAGGGTCACATATGTGAATCAATCAAATAGGTCCATGATCAACAGCACTCAAATAACATTACCTTCTAAAGAATGCCAGGTTTATGTAATGGAAAGTTAACCCTGCGTTTTTCCTCTGTGTATTTTGTTTCTTGTTAGCTGGTCGTGAGACTCCTGTGTGGCGTTGATTCCCACCTGTTCCTTGTTTTACTTGTAAACACTCTGTTCTGTGCTGAATCTTTCACCGAGTTGGTTAATTTTTGGCCTGTTCCAGTTGGTCTGAATTGTTCCTGGATTTCTCTACAGATTATTTGTCTAGTCCTGTTCTTTTCTCTTCTTTGCCTGTCAGTCTGTCTAGTCCAGATAAATCACGTTGTCTGCAGCATAGTCCAGTTGAGTTGCTCGCTTGCTCCTGGTTATCTCTGCCTTTGTCTCTATTGTCAATAAATGGCAGTTCTGTATCTGGGTCCTCCGTTTCACACCATGACAGGTGAGGCATATGATGAATCCTTTTTGTGTAATAAATGTATACTCAGTTACATTTTCCACTGTTAAAAGTTTTTATTCTAAAGGAAATTAATAGCACTTGCTACATATTGCAGTACACAACACTGAATAGCATACTGAAAAATATTTTTATTTTAAACATTGTTCAATATGCTTTTCAACGGTGAGTACACTCAGATGAGATAAATAACATTCATAACAGAGGTCTGGAAAAAAGTTTTTATGCTACATAAGACCCATAAGAATAAGGTTGTGCCCACAGCAGAGCCATATGAAGAAATTTTTCTTACAATTTTTCTACACAACCTCTTCAAGCTCAACTAGAAAAAAAAATCATAGTATTTAATTTTTTTTTTTTTACAGATAAAAAAAAAAAAAAAAACTAACTATAAATAGTGTGGTGTTGTGCAATGATATTTGGTAGCTAAGGCCATTTATGTATATTTTTCCATTGAACATTTACATTTTGAATATACCAGTGGTGGCAAAGAAAGAGAAATGTCATGGGTTGATGCATAGTGGTATCTGATTTTCAGTGTAATCGACAGGCTTTATGATTAGTAACAATAACAATAAATATATAATAAAAAAAAGCTGCTACTAATAACTACTGACACTGGGGCAGTACCTTCAAAGGTACTAATTCTAATATATATAGTATATATAACCTTACCCTTAAGTTTCATACTTTCCTCAGGTTTTATAATTTGTAACAATTTCATCCTTATACTAATTCAGATTTCAGTATGAAACAAAAATCATATTGTAGTTTCTCTGTCTCAGGAACAAGGCACTAGACATTAATGTTGGCTTTAAAACTTGGTTTGTAGTGTTGATGTAGTAGATCCCATTTTTTTCTTGTCCTCCATTTTAACATCAATTGTCTCAACATTGATGGGATGTTTGGAAGACTGGTTCCGTTTCTTCTGTACACTGAAGTGCACTCCATAAGAGAAGTAGATGAGCACGCCTAGGTTTTGTAAGGAAATACAATTATACTTATGATATACAATTATTGGATTAATCTGAAATGGCCATATATGTCAAAAGTTTGGATAATATTGGTAAAACACTCCTGCGAATGATGTTCATTCATCACATGGGTCCTGGTCCAGTGAAGGTTGTTTCATACATGCAAAAATTGCATGTCATTAATTTGGCAATTTAAAATAATACATGGTGTATTTGTCTATTCTTATAATCTTTCCTTTTAGTTTTTACTAATACAGCCTATTAATTAAATAATGTTGTGAAAGGTTTGCTGACTAAATTGTGATTGAAAGAGTTTGATAAGATTTATTTTTCAAACCTTCTCCAAACCACATTCTCACACACTCATTTCCAGACAGTGCTTTTTAATTGTTTATATAGGACTCTATATAAATAGTCATGTTGTCTTACCCAATGCCATCCACACTGCATAGCGAATCCAAGTTTCACCCCCCAGCTGGATCATTAAGTAGACATTGAAGAATGTACTGAAAATTGGGAGTAGTGGCAGAAGTGGGACCTACAGAAAAATGTGAAAAGTTTCTGAAGACCAACGCAGTCTTGAACTAATTCTAAACAGAACATTTCAATGTTCTTAAAGGGGTCATGAACTGCCTTTGTTTATTTTGTACTGTTCTCTGAGGTCCACTTATAATGATATCAAGATTTTTACATCTTCCTCTGCGGAGGCAGTGCTTATCCACACCATTACATCTTAGAGTAGAGCATTCCATAAAGCTGTCGTTTTGGCAGACTGGCTTCAATATAAGCTGTTTTTAGACTAACAAGAAAGTTTTGAGTTCTGAACCTTACAGGATGTTTTTATAGTTGTTACGCGTGCTTCGCATACGCCCCGTCCGAGAGTCTTAAATGGCGTACTAAACAGTGTTCATAATGTCTTATTTTTCTCTTGTTTTCTCTAGTTCCTTATTGGTTGAGCTGGGGAGACGAAGCTATAAAGTGGAAGGAGGCGGACCCTCCAGTGCTCTCTACCAGCCACAGTTTGCTCCGCGGCGACATCGCTACGTACCTTTTCTTAGTTTGTAATTTTAGTTTGGAGTGGGGAGTCCCAGCTTGTTTCTATTAGTTTAGCCATTTCTACCTTTGTTGCTGGGCTCCCCGTCTCCTACTTCTGGTTACTTTTGTGAGTAATTTGTGTTAAAATAAAGAATTATTTGGAAGACACCAGCCGTTGTCCATCTATTATGTTATGTGTCCCTTCCGACTCCTAGATCCTTATATAGGGACCGTAACATAATTGGGGGCTCGTCCGAACATTTTTTCAAATCACGTTAAAAGCTTTGTTCACCAAAATTACATGGTTGGGAACTTTTTGTTTTTCGGATGTGGTTTAATCCGATTTACGATAGTTTAATTGCGAGACGCCTCGCTTCGCGCTATATTGTACCAAAAGCTTTAGTCATTCTTTACATTGTATATAGGCAAAACGCTTTTTATTGCGCTAAATGGTAACTTTAGTGTATTTTTCACTTTCTGTTCCCTGTTCGCGCCAAGCTTTTGGTGTATTTTTGAATGAGTGGAAGTGTAGTGACGTGGTTGCCGAGGGGTTTTCCAGTCATCGGGAATTCCGTGCGGCGCATTATAAACGGAAGCGTGCGCGCGCTGGTGGACACGGTTATTTTGTTTTCATGGGAAATGCAGGTGAGTGAAGTGTTTTGTCTCGTGCACTGCGTCCTTTTTGTCCTCTGGTAAGCGTTTTTTTTTGTCTTGTTTTCGACTGCGTGTTTTTCGGTCTCATTATGGAATTTAGTCTAGAGGACTTTGTGGCTCACCTGAGCCTGGAAGAATTTGAACAATGCACTAAAAATAATCTGTTCTCTAGTGCTGCTCATTTCAAAGTGACTATTTCAAAACAAGAAAGAAAACAAGATATTAAGTATCAATTGCACACTGCTTTAGCTGAAAGGAAGCTTCTTCCTTTTGTCAGCGCTGTACCTTCACATGCTGTTGCGCATCCCGATCCTGAGCTGCGTAAACTGGAGTTACAGGTGGAAATGCGGCGCTTAGATCTTAAGGAAAAAGAGCTCCAGCATGAGTTTGAGTTGCGTAAGTTTGAAATAGAGGAGACAGGAAGACGTGAATCAGTCCGCCTTAGAGCTAGACCGTTAAGCAGAGATTCTGCTACTATGGAGACAGATTTTGATGTTAATAAATGCATTCGTTTAATCCCGCCTTTTTCTGAGAGAGATGTTGACAAATATTTTGTGCTGTTTGAGCGGGTAGCAATGACCTTAAAGTGGCCTACAGAGTTTGGCCTCTCCTTCTGCAGTGTGTGTTTACGGGTAAAGCCGAGGAGGCGTATGCCTCTCTCTCACCTGAGGCAAGTTTAGATTATGACCAGGTGAAGTCTGCAGTTTTAAGGTCTTATGAGTTGGTTCCTGAGGCTTATAGGCAAAAGTTTCGACTTTATAAGAAAGCCGAGGGCCAAAGTTATGTTGAATTTGGTCGTGAAAAAATGGTACTGTTTGATCATAGCTTTATGATAGATCTTGATATAGAGTCTAAGTTATCCCCTGATATTAACTCTGCCGTGTGTCTTCCATCTACAGTCTCTGATCCCATGGCGTCATGTGAAGGTGGCGTGCACAGTTCGCTCCATACTGCGAACTAGACCATACTCCTAGATCCTTATACAGGGACCGTAACAATAGTACAATGACCTCTTATGTGTTAAAAGATCAAGGGAATTTTGGTTTCTCAGTTCATGACCCCTTTAACAACAGTGGTACTTAGTACTTAGAAATAATATACTTTAATAGAAATCCTCAAGTGCGAACTGTATTTAAAGTTTTTAGACACGTAACTGCATGTTAATTGCAATTAAATGAAAATGTGTTATATTACCAGGTGATGGATAAATTTAAGACAAAATTGCATAGGGTTTCATTATTTGGCCTAGTGTTTATTTCATGTTAAATTGATGTAAAGCACATTTCTGCTGTACGCCATGCTAATATAAAATTGGAAATTATTTTGACCTACTGTATTGATGGTAATATTCACACATTTTATGACGGAGTTTAATGACATTTTTGTTACTGATTAATGATTTTGTTATTTTGGTACTGTGTTGGATTGTCGAATGTAAAATCTGGGCTCCAAAGCAAATCCACTTGAGAACCACTGTTAGAATAACACATTCATGCACATTTTATGCATTACTTGTTGCTAAAATGTTGTAAAAAATGTTGTTGCTTTTTTTCACCCAGTGAGTGACAGCTTACCATAAATGCAGCTTTGGTACCATTCTGCGGCTGTCGCCAAATAATAATGATAGTCATGACAAACGCCACCGAAACCAAAGTGATCATCAAAATCATCCACCACTCCTCAATCAGACCAGCTTGTACACCTTTTGTGATGATCACACTCAGGATAACCGCAAACACAACTAGAAATCACATTAAAAGTAAAAATGAAGTGGAGAAGAGAGAGTTAGCATGAAATCATTATAGCATAAATTTAGGTTAAATGAACTTGATTGTTGATCTGGATAGGTTTCATTTTCTTGTCCTGGTATGATATTGGCTATTATTGATCTGGATAGGTTTCATTTTCTTGTCCTGGTATGATATTGGCTATTATTGATATTTATGATAATTTGCTTCTATTTTTTACTACGCACCTGCTCATATGATCAGGAGTTGCAGTGGCTTTTCATTTGTAGCATAAAATTGCAAAAAATATAGAAATACCCATAAATCAAACTAAATTAATGGTGCATTCATGTCGAAATGATTTTATTTACAAGTTTAGCGCCACCACACACTAATAATTTCCAAAAAACGCTCCGGTTACTCACGCAACCTCGGGTCCCTGAGATAAGGGAACGAGCATTGTGTCGTCTTTTGACAACTTGTATGGGGAAACCCCTGTTTACTCTGTTACTGAAGCCTGATTTGTCAACGTTTGTGTAGCTGCACAAACCAATGGCGCTCGAGCTTGCCAGAGGGGGTGGAGCCAACAGCTATATAAGTCGGCCCGGAGTGCCATTTCATCAGAATCAACGACTGAAGCAACAGCCATCGATTCGTGTGCAGCTATAGCAACAAGTCTCACGAGTTTGTTTATAGGAGCAAAGGAAGCAAAGTTTCCTTACTTTTGCAAAGGAAAACCAGTCTCCTCTTGGCTTATATCGAAATCCTCCAACATTTTTCTTTGCAAATCCTCGGTTTGTACTTCCAATTCAGTTTATTACGTTTGAAATATGGATATTTTTCTTACAAAAACAAATGGATTCGCTACAGGAGGCCATTATTCACCCCCTGGAGCCGTGTTAGGTACGTTTTATTATGGATGCGCGCGCTTTATTTGACGACTTGTGGACTGTTCAACTGCAACACTCGCTGACTGCAATGATAGAGCTTGGAATAGCCAGGACAATTTTTAATATAACTCCGACTGGATTCGTCTGAAAGAAGAAAGTCATATACACCTAGGATGCCTCGAGGGTGGGTAAAACACAAGCTAATTTTCATTTTTGAGTGAACTAACCCTTTAAGCTTGGTATTTCCATTAATTCTAAGGTATTTTTACAAAGAATTATGGCTGCAGCAAATTAGTATTAATCATTAAAATGTAGCATATGTAGTTTGTATTTATTTTGTGTGCTACTTTTAAGTGCTAATGCTTTTTTGGAGAAACTATTTATTTAGCTGGTTTATGAGAAGACAGGCTTGTGTGACTAAACTACAGTACATTTCCCAACATTCTCTGTGATTGTGCAAGAATGATAACATTTCTAATTTTCTGCATAGGCCTAAATGTTTTTTTTTTTTCTAAGACAATGCTTTCTTTCTTAGACAAGAGAAAAATAAATACTGCCAGCATGTCCAATTTACGGAAGCATTAGCTACACTTCCTCAACATAATCATACACTTACTCATCAGATGGAAGCATGAAATGATAAAAACTGAAACTCACTGGTAAGGATGGTTAGCACAGACACAACTTTAGAACTTGAAGCAGATGCATATTTAGGGGGGGAAAAAGGATTCCATTTCTTCTGAACTTCTGGTTTCTCACTGATCTCAGCTGGCTCTGGTTGGTACCTGTGTGGACAAAAATAGTTGATTTTAGTGCACAACTGTTATTATTGTAAGTAATGTACTTTAAGCACTGCTGTCTTTTTGTGTTTGCTCTGAATATTTTTTGTTTGCTCTGAATATTGTGAAAATTGGTAGTACTGAAAATGTGCAATGTACAATAAACCATTTTATTCTGCATTGCACATTGTCAGTACTACCACAGGCAAAAAAAAATGTTTTGGGGGAAAATACTAATTATGTACACTGTAGAAAGTGAGACAAAGGAGAAACATAATACTTTAATGAAAGACGGAGATAATTCAAATAAAGGTAGTCCAAGGGAAAAACACACAAAACAGCTTGTGAAAAAAATACAGTTGACAGAGGAGTATAAATATACAGGATATTGACTGACTTAACTAGAAACAGGGGACAAACATAATCAGAAATCACAGAAACAAATAAGGGCATACTGAGAAACCTGGGGAAACCAATGAAAGGAAGACTGAACCACAACTGGAGAATCGCCGAGCATAACAGAGCCTGGGAATCAAATGCTCAAGAAGTAGCTGCTGGAGGTGGAGACCAAAGCAGAGTCAGATCACAGGCACTGAGGACCACTGAGCTGGCAGATTGGAGGAACAAGGCAGTGCCCAGGGATCAGACGTCCAAGTTGGAGCCAGTGGGACAGAGATCAATGGCAGAGACAAAAAAAAGGCCACTGTGACACTAAAGGGATGGAGGGCCAAGGTACAGCTGAAGGACTGAAATGGATCAATAGACCATTGCAAGGCTGGAAGGACAAGGGGCCCCAGTAGAAGGACCACAGTGGAGACAAAGGATCGGACAGCCACGGTGGAGCTGGAAGGGCCCAGGTGGAGCCTAAGGGTAGGAAGTGTTCAGATGCCACAAACTCTAAAGAACACAGTGGATCAGGAGACTGTGATTGTGCCGATGGAGCCGGAGGACTGAGGAGCTGGTGAGGAGTAGTCAGAGGAGCCAATGATGACCATGGCATAGTTAGAGGAGCATGACCAGTGGCCCTGTACATAGCCAGAGAGGCTATGATGCAGGGCAGAAACAACTGAGGAGGAAGGGCCAGGGACCTTGACAGAACCAGAGAGACTATCATGCTGGATGGAACCAGTGGAGGGGAAAAGACTAGGGACCTGGACAGAACCAGAGAGTGTGTGGAGCTGGACAGGACCAACAGAGAAGAAATGTCTAAGGCTCCGGATGGAATCAAAGAGTCCAACAAGCTGAATAGGACCAGTAGAGGAGGAAGGGCTTTAGAGGTTCAGACTTAAATCCTGGATGGCCAGGTCAATAAGCTCTGGCTTCTGGATGGCAGGTGCTGGCTCCAGGACAAACCGAACGTGGGCACTGGGCACTCCAAGATGAACCGAGCAGCAGGTGCTGGCTCTCAGATGAACTAAGCAGCAGGCACTGCTTCCAGGACGAACTGAATGGCAGGACAGAATGGGCCTCTGACTGAGGGTCTATGATCGTCATGGGTGTATGCTCAGGGTCTGTAGCGGGTGTGATGAGGCTCTGGGGGGCCACAGAGTGATTGTGTTCCTTTCCTCCCTTTTCCCCCCACAGTGAAATGTTTAACTGGAGGGCCAAATCTGACAATTAGCACAGCGACTCTCGAAGACCACCAATGGACAGCCATGGTTTAAGGGGTTTATTAAATCCATCATAAAAATCCAAATGCACTTTATTAAACAAATAAAATGAAGATAATCTGAATAAAGTAGTCCAAGGGAAAACCACGTACGGAAGCAAGTAAACACAGAACACGGGAGCAAAGGAACAAAATAACCTTGAATGAAACTTAAAAGTCCTTGACCCAAATCAGATGTGACAAATTATTGATTACTGCTGAGGAATAGCTGCTGAAAACCTTCTATAATAATGTCATCATTTTTGTCTCGAAAATGTGAACTTGAGTAAAAAAAGAATGTGGGTTGTTATTAGCATCACTTCATAATGTCATTTATTTTGACATTACGTAAGTTCACATAATTGCATTGTAGTAATGACAAAGAATAACCCCCCCCCCAAATTGTCAGTTGAAAAATAGATAACTGTTATTTGACCGTACATTTTGGCAATTATGTAATTTTCATCAAATTGTGTGTTACGTAAATTAAGGTGGCATTACATATTTCAGTGTGAATGTATATTCTGTGTGTTTTGTAAAAATCTGTGTTGGTACATCAGGAATCAACAATCATAAAATCTACGATACCATTCATGGATTTTTCTTTATATTATTTATATTATGTATTGTGTTTGAAGCTTACCGAAGAATTAAGATGCAGATGGCTACGAGGGTGTAGGCAAAGAGCGTTCCAATAGACATCATGTCTACAAGAGCCTTCAGGTCAAACACCAAGGCCATTATTGCTAAAAACAGAAATAGTTCACTAACAGAATAACAGAGCCAAAAATGAAATGAAGACAAGAGGCTGGTGTGGTAATTATGACAATAAAGAGATTTGATTTGATTTGATTTGATGTTACCTAGGGTATGTCATGTAGATTAGTTACTATTATCATGGTGTATCACTGGCATGTGTTCTCAAAGAGAATTACCTGCTATTATTCCAGAAGAAAGTGTGGCGATGACAGGGCTCTGTCTGGAACTCATGTTACTCAATGGTTTGAATAGCAGTCCATCTCTGGCCATAGCAAACAGCACACGGGGCATAGGAAACATGGACCCCAGCAGACTGTTGAGTAGTAAACAAATTGCATTATAATATTGTTTCATTAGTTTAACCTTGTAATTTCTTTTACTATTTTGCACTTTTTGAGCAAATTACTTGCTACTTTCTCATAGTGCTCTTTTTACTGTGTACAGTTAACTACTGTAAGTTAAAAACTTATCTCCCATAGAGAACCTAGTGAACCTGGATGTACTGGTGGTTTAGTAGACTAAAGAACCAAACAATAAAACAGATTGTTAATGATAAAAAGGACCGTTTTGACTATATCCACTGATATATATAAAATAATTAACTTCTGTTCTGATATATCCTGCACCAACATCAATCCTTTGACAACTGTGTTTGACAATAGAGTCCTGCATTATGTATACTACATTTGATGTAATGATGCTAATTTCACCAAACTGATGAACAGCTTTCCTTTTTAGTTTATGAGCATCTTCTCTACTATCATCTTACTGATCACGCAACACCGCTTTTTATAGTCCTATAACAGTATGAGTTTGGCATAATAAGTGCCTTATGGGTCAACATGTGTTGCATCACCTTGTTGAGAGAGCACACAAAGATCCAACAGCCACAGCATACTTTGCAGGATCCCAGCCCACATAGGTGAAGGCTACAGGTAAGGGACTCTGAACATTTAGTTGGTAGTAGGGCATCATGAGGGTGAGAGCAGCCGAAACGCCAAAATAAGCCACAAAACAGATGAGAAGAGAAGCCACAATTCCTATAGGGATAGACTTCTGAGGGTTTTTGACCTCCTCACCTAGATAAAGGAGATAGAGATTTAAAAAGAAAAAGATAAAACATGCACACACACACACACAGACTGTAAAAATATTGAAAAAAGTACTTTAAAAGTACTATGTTCCAAGACTTCTGAAGCGGTTGTTGTAACTATCCAACACAAATGACTTTCGATCTAAATAGTCCTTAATCCACAAACAGAAATATCCAGGATCATCTCCAGGAGTACATGCACGGAATGATAACTGACCAGGAACTGAACTAAACGGGTGTAAATACACAGGACCTAATGAGTAAATTAAAGGGGTCATATGATGTTGCAAAATTGAACATTATTTTGTGTATTTGGTGTAATGAAATGTGTTTATGCGCTTTAAGGTTCAAAAAACACATTATTTTCCACATACTGTACATTATTGTTTCTCCTCTATGCCCCGCCTTTCTGAAACGTGTCGATTTTTACAAAGCTCATCGGTCTGAAAAGCGAGGTGTGCTCTGATTGGCCAGCTATCCAGTGCGTTGTGATTGGCGCCGTGTAACATAACACGCGCCATGTAAACATAAAACCATGTCTGCATTTGTGATAAAACGTACTTACAGTCTGTGAGTCAGAACAGCCGGCATTGTGGTCTAGAGTGAGCGGAGGCCGGCAGCTAGAGTGAGCGGAGGCCGGGGGCTAGAGTGAGTGGCGGCCGACGGATTCGACGAAGGACCGGCCGTCGGGCTTGCGGCAATCACATGTGGCGACCCCGGGCTGGACTCCGCTTCGTCCACGGTGAAAGCCGATCCGGCAATCCACAGCCGGATCGGATCGGCACAAACAAAGTTTCGCTTACACAACGAAACACACGGCAACAACAATACTACAGCGAGAATCAAAGTTACACTTTCTTTCTTTGTGTGAACATTTGGGCAGCGTTATGCAAATCTTCCCACATCGTGACGTAGACATGTGGGGGGGTGTTAGAACGAGCCGTTTTAGGTAGGCGTGTTTAACTCTTAACTTTTATAAAGAATATCTCTTTGGATTTGAGACTTTAGTCTTTGCAACTTTACAGATCTTCTTTATGCACCAAGAGCTTGTAACACTCCAAAGAGAAAGGAAAAATTTTTATCGCATCATATGACATATGACTTTAACAAGAACAGGTGGAAACAATAGGTAACCATGGAAACAAAGAGGCCCACACTAGGAAACTAGCTCTGCATCCCAAAATTCATACTATCCATCCTAAATAGTATGTGAGATTAGAATAAGTGTGTCCCAAAGCATAGTATGTTGAAAAGAGTATGCCAAAAGTCCCCGGATGGTCTGCTATTTCAAGTAGAGTTTTTTGAAGTGTGGATCTATTCACACTCTATGGCTAATATTTCCCACAATGCATTGCGCTTTGGCGAAGGATTTGGTTCAGAACTACAAACACGAAAAAAAGTGTTAAAAACTACAAACATGGTGTGACCGACGAATGGTTTGAGTTACTAATAATCAACATTTAACCTAGTAAAAAATATTTATTTAATGTTATCTGTGTTATACTTCATCTGCAACAACATGAACTTTTATAAACAACCGTTCGGCCATTAACTTTTAAATGAATCATTATGCAGAAAATATGAGGAGAGTTCTCCACATGAAAGACTCACGGCTGGCAGATCAGCGTGCTACTTCTTTTCTTTCCAATACGGTAGAAAGTTAAATGAAATTAAATGTGGAGGATGTTAACTGTGACAAGATGATTGACAGGCCAGTTTACAGTGACTTGGTGCGTGTACAGGTGCGACAGAGCATATGTTAAATACGCAATTGTATTATGTAATAGTATGTCCCAAAGCTTGCCTACACTTCTACTACATACTCAAAAGTGTGTACTTTTTCTTCACCAAAAGAGTAGGCCTATACTTTAAGGTTGTAGTATAAGTAGGCACATTGGGATGCAGCATAGGTCAGCTGAGGGGGTGTTTACAATACATTTTAGGGGCCTGGAAAAAAAAGGGTTTCAAAGTGCACGTTTTTGAAAACAATATTACATTTACATTTAGTCATTTAGCATACGCTTTTATCCAAAGCGACTTACAAATGAGGACAATAAAAGCAGTCAAAACTAACAAAAGAGCAACAAGCTTCTAGAGGGTACATAACTCTGAAGTAATGAATTTAGGTAAATGGGTGCAGAGCCAGTGGTGGTTTTGTAGGCAAACATTAATGCCTTGAATTTAATGCGAACAGCTACTGGTAGCCAGTGCAAATTGATGAACAGAGGTGTGACATGCGTTCTTTTCGGCTCATTAAAGATTAATCTTGCAGCGGCATTTTGGATTAATTGTAGAGGTTTCATAGAAGTGGTTGGAAGAAATGAAACAACAATATGGTTGTTGTCTCTGTGTAAACTACAAAAACACAATTTTGTTAAAACAGTCATTTGCATGTGTATTACGTGTTCAGTCTACAGGAATGGGTATGTGTGCAGGTGCCTAGTGTTTCTTTACTTTTCATTTCATTTAATTAGATATTGCTATTGTTGAAGTACCTGTGGTTGCAATGCAGTCAAATCCCACAAAGGCATAAAAACAGGTAGCGGCACCAGCAAAAGTTCCCTCAAAACCAAAGGGAAAGAATCCTCCAGTTCCAAAACTGGATAAAGTTTCATTTGAGGTTGAGAGATTTCTAAACAAAAATAGCAATGTTAAAAAATTATTTCAATGTATTGTGGTAATTTAAAAAAGTAATTAAAATGTGTGTTAAACAGTTTCTCAATTTCCTAGTTTAATTTTTTAAGCTGTTGATTTAAACCACGCAGTCAAAGTCTTTACCATTACCACACATGCTCTGGAAATTTCATAATGCAACATACGCAGTTATTGTGTAGTTCCAAATTTCCTCCTCTGTTATCTGCCAGTTTCCAATGTCACCCTTGATGAATCCAGCAATGATGACAAAAACCAGAACTACAATATTTATAGCTGTGAAGATCTTATTGACAATGGCAGACTCCTTCACCCCAAATGCAAGGATACCTAAAAAATTAAAACAATCAACATAAATCTAACTCATGTTGATTCAAATTACTGTATCTTAACATAACTCATTTATTGACACTATAACAAATTTACTGTAAATCTTACTTGCCTGCCAAAACCAGAATAAGGCCAGCGGCGAAGAAGTCTGGATAGGGAGCGAGGCCAGGTAAATTCATTGGTGTATTTTCACTCAAATAACTGGCAATCTTATTTCCAATCAAGTCATCGAAAGTGCCACTCCATGCTCTTGCCACACTAGATGTACCTGTCATAAAGTCATTCAGATCAAGCAATTCAGTTATACAAACATTCGTTAAGCAGGTTTATAGGGCATATAAGAGTCATGTAATGTCATGAAATAAATCTTGTAAGATTAATATTACTGATTAAAATGATTGGAGAATGTTAAATAGTTTATGGAAAATCTTATTTGAACTGAGCTGCGTTTGCTAAAGGCACTGCGAGTTCATGTTTTTTTAAGACTAACGCTACACTAGTGACTATGTAACTTTTTGCCCTCTAGCGGTTAAAAACTAGAACGGCTTGCATCCTGCGGAAGAACATTGTTTTGGTTGTGCTCCGGCTTGCTCCTCTATGCGGACGAACGTAATTCGAGGAAAGGTTATACAGCAGTATAGGGAGGAAGGATACATAAATACCGCTTTTTTTTCTTTTCTTTTTTTTTGTTATTTGAACCTAATGATCTGTGGTATTTATATTTTTTTACATTGTGACACCCGGAGCCGGAGTTACTTTTCTCTGTGTACAGGTATGACATGACACGCACGGGAGAATGAGGTATGTGTGCAATTTCCTAAGAAATCTCTGAAACATAAATAATTATTATATTAAAAGTGTATTTGGGTAAAGACATTTATTGCCCTCTTTCTTAAATAACCCTTATTTATTTATTTTTATTCGTCCATTTTTTTTTACCAAAAAATATATAGTGTACCAAGTAATATATTATTACATCTTAAAGGGACAGTTTGCAGAAATATATACATTTTTGTCTTAATAAACTGTATTTACATCCCTTTTTATTTTCTATCTGCTGTGAAATGCAAAAGGAGATATTAGGCAGAATGTCCACACTGCTCTTCTCAGTTGACCCTTCGCAGGGAGTTTGATTGACAGGCGATCTGACCAATCATAATGCCGAATCTGCCATTTTTGTCTGACAAACAAACCAGACAAGAGAGTAGATTAACGTCGGTAAGCTTGAACTTGAAAAATAGTGTGCATTGACGTCTCTCTGCGGTTGAAACGATACCTTCTGATGTTCATTCATGTTTATTTCATGCTATAACTAGTAAACAGGTGCTACAGCGATCTGTTATGAGACATTTATGATTTATGAACATTTATTGTTTGAATTTCTTAAAAAATGTGAAGGCTGAGACTTTGTTTCATACCAAAAGTAACATACTCTGCCTTGTTTGTCAGCGCATTGTCAGTTTTCTCTTTGCTCCGTGATGTATTTTTCACTGCGTGAGAACATGATGTGTGACGTGAGAGTGCCATGGTTTGTCAAACATAGCAACAGTAATGAAAGGGGGACGGGTCTTTGTGAAGGGTCAATTCAGAGATTTATGCTTCCAGTCTTTAAAAAGGACAACAAAAAAAATTGTTTGTATGACTTTTGTGTTTTATTGTCCTTTTGGCAGTTTAAATCACCATTTTGTTTGGAATGGAAGAATTAAAGTCAAGTAACTCTTGAATGGCATGAGAGTGAGAAAATTGAAGGCAGAATTGTCATTTTTGGCTAAATTCTAGGTGTCTAGGTCTAGGTAATGGGTGTTGTCAATATTAATGAACAACAACCGCCAGCTCAAATAAAGCATACTGTTTGAATGGACTGTTAATGCTGGGCATTAAATGTTTGTTCTTACCTATGATGTATGACAACAGTAAGTTCCAGCCGGTGATGAAGGCCCACACCTCTCCGACAGTGACGTAGCTGTACAGGTAGGCAGAGCCAGTCTTGGGCACTCGGGCGCCAAACTCTGCATAACACAAGCCCGCAAACACAGATGCCACTGCTGCAATGAAGAATGACACAATGATGCTGGGACCAGCTACTGTTCTGGCAACCTCCCCAGAAAGGACATAGACCCCAGCACCAAGTGTACTTCCCACCCCAAGGGCCACTAGGTCGAGTGTGGTTAAGCAACGCTTGAAGTTGGACTCTTCACCATCAGGCTCCAGTGGCTTTCGCCTCGATAGGCTCTTCAAAAAGGACAGCACCTTGTCACAGAACATCCTGAGACAAATAATATAGGTGATTATGTAATATTTCATATATGTCTATCATATGTTAATAATAGATATATTCAAGAGAAGCACATTTCTCATCCTGTGCATTCTGTAATTAAAAAGTTGCACTTCAAACATTTGCTTTTCATAATTTTTTTTACAATGTAAGTCTTTGTTATTCATTCATTTAAACCCATTTGGTCATTTTTATCATTTATGTTTTTTAAGTCAGCTAATTAGTAATTACCCAGTGTTTGAAATGTGTTATGTCAATAAACATGCCTTGCCTTAATTATTCAGTGTGCAGCTGTGAAAGACTTAAATGTACACAGCGCTTCCGTGATCAGGAGATAATAATAATAAATTTGATTTGTATACAACCTTTCATATATAAAATGCAGCTCAAAGTAATTCAAAACAACAGCTATGGCAAAAAAAAAAAAAAAAAGAGGAAATAAGGGGGAAAAAATAAAATCATAACCAAAGGGATGTAAAATATATAAAGCATTTGCTCTTCATTGTTTTATTACAATCTTTTATTACATCTTTTTTATTTATGTCTCTCTTTATTATTCATTCTTTGAAACCCATGTTAAGTTAATTTTCAACCATTCTTTTTCCTTAGTCCTTTTTAAATTATTTTAAATGTTTAAAAATAATATGCCTATTTAAAGCACTCAAAATTACACTTTGTATGAAATGTGTTTCATGCAAATAAGTTAGCAGAGGGTTAGAAGAAGAACTACCTATCGTACATAAAATGCAGCTCAAAAAAGTACTTTATAGGTCAGATCATAAACTATTTAGAAAAAGGCATAAACTATAAAAAATAAAAACAATGGAAAAAAGTGAAAAAAATAAATAAATGGAAAGGAGTTGAGCGAAAAAATATACAATGAAAAAAAGAGATTTGATATATAGTAATAAAAAGATAAAGAACAAATAGTTTAAATGCTTAGAGCTCGTATAATTTCATTTAGTTGAACATTTTGGGGCATAATGGCTACAAACAGCTGTTCTTTTATAGTTTACATCAGGGCTGTCCAAACTCGGTCCTGGAGGGCCGGTGTCCTGCAGAGTTTAGCTCCAACTTGCCTCAACACACCTGACTGGAAGTTTCTATACCTAGTAAGAGCTTGATTAGTTGGTTCAGGTGTGTTTAATTAGGGTTTCCGTACCCACTGTATATATATATATATATATACATACATATACATACACACACAGGTTTCCATTTTTTGTGGGGACTCGCATAGGCGTTATGGTTTTTATACTGTACAAACCGTATTTTCTATCGCCCTACATCAGGGCTGTCCAAACTCGGTCCTGGAGGGCCGGTGTCCTGCAGAGTTTAGCTCCAACCCTAATTAAACACACCTGAACCAGCTAATCAAGCTCTTACTAGGCATATAAACTTCCAGTCAGGTGTGTTGAATATACAATGAAAAAAAGAGATTTGATATATAGTAATAAAAAGATAAAGAACAAATAGTTTAAATGCTTAGAGCTCGTATAATTTCATTTAGTTGAACATTTTGGGGCATAATGGCTACAAACAGCTGTTCTTTTATAGTTTACATCAGGGCTGTCCAAACTCGGTCCTGGAGGGCCGGTGTCCTGCAGAGTTTAGCTCCAACTTGCCTCAACACACCTGACTGGAAGTTTCTATACCTAGTAAGAGCTTGATTAGTTGGTTCAGGTGTGTTTAATTAGGGTTGGAGCTAAACGCTGCAGGACATCGGCCCTCCAGGACCGAGTTTGGGCAGCCCTGGTTTACATCAGTTAATTTTAACTGTAATTTTATTCATCATGTTTTTTGTTTTTTTTACACTTGATAGAATACATTTCAACAATGTCCCGTCCACTAAAATGTTCAAAAGTCATATAACTTATCTCCACCGTTTCCTTATATGCACAGAATATCTGGCACATACTGTTATCTTGCTTTTATGATGTTCTCTTGAACAGACTAATGTATGTGCTCCCTAATGGGAATCAACATCTTGTGATTGTGATCTTGTGAAGCATAAAATACTAAACAAACCCATGCCAAATATTCAAATAGAAGCATCTTTATCTTCACATGAATCGCAATGTCTTTTAGTATATCAGTGATTAAGTAGCTTACCTGTCTGCTCAGAATCCAGGCGTGTGTGAAGGTGTGACTATGGTGTGTGTGTTGTGGTCCAAGAGTTCCTGAGCACAGCCTATATCAGAGGGCCCCTCCTGTAAACTCTCACGTGTCCAAAACGCCCCATGTGTCATTTTTGACAGACTCTGTTACATTTAGAAGAAATGTGTGATTTCTGGAGAAGAGATAGGCACTCATAAAAAAATAATTTTGCAGTTGTAAGCCTGACATATACAAGGTATTTAACAAAAGAACCCTAAAAGTCTATCGTGAGGAGGTTATAATTTAAAAAGCTTTTAAATCCAAAATATTAGCAATTTAAAAAAAAAACAATAGTCATGACATTGTTGAATGTTGACCCCATGAAGAATCAACAAGGTGCTTACTTAAAGGGGTCCTATTATGCTTTTTCACTTTTTCAACTTTAGTTAGTCTGTAATGTTGCTGTTTGAGCATAAAAAAGATCTGCAAAATTGCAAAGCTCCAAGTCCAATTCAAAAGGAGATATTTTATTTAACAGAAATCACTTTTCAAAAACTACAACGAACGACTCGATTCGAGCCGTTCATGCCAGACTGAGGAGAGAGGTGTTGTAATAATGTAAAATATGTTAAAAATAATCTGTTTTTCGAACAACCTAGTATGAGAGCCTGTTCTAGTACACCCCCAAAACAAAATCAAGACTTTGTAAAAGAGCATAATACGACCCCTTTAATAGTTTCAGTAATACTTTGTAATGCAAAAAGGTTATTTCTTCCAAAAAAAAAAAAAAAGAACACCTACAGGTAAAAGACAAACATCAGCACATAGGAGAAAACGACTTGATCAAATGTTTATGTCCTCCTCGTCTCCTAACATCCCAAAGAGCAATTTCATTCACGATTATAAGACTAAAAAAAGTATTCCATAGTGCTTGAAAATAACAGACCCTATTAATATTTAATCTTAAAGGGGTCATATGATGCGATTTCAATTTTTCCTTTCTCTTTGGAGTGTTACAAGCTCTTGGTGCATAAAGAAGATCTGTAAAGTTGCAAAGACTAAAGTCTCAAATCCAAAGAGATATTCTTTATAAAAGTTAAGAGTCAGCCACGCCTACCTAAAACGGCTCGTTCTAACACACCCCCACATACCTACGTCACGATCTCGGAAGATTTGCATAACGCCGCCCAAACGTTCACGCAAAGAAAGAAGGCGTAACTTATATTCTCGCTGTAGTATTGTTGTTGCCGCCGCCACCATGTCGTGAAGGCACTGTGTGT